TTTCCTGATACCCTCTTCTCTGCCTCCATCACCCGCTGACGCTCACATCTTTCCTCTCTAATCATTTTATCTTCTGCGTTTGTTAATTCATTACTTATTCCCTCCACTCTTTCTAGATCGAAGCTAAAATAATCATAATATTAATATTATGATTATTATGATTATTATTAATAATAATCATAATAATCATAATATTAATATTATGATTATTTTAGCTTCGATCTAGAAAGAGTGGAATGTATAAAAGCGCAGGAGAGTGGGATCTAGTTAAACAACAAGGACAACAACAATAATAATAATAATAGTAATAATAAACATATCAGTATAGCACCTTTCATACAAGAAATGCAGCTCAAAGTGCATATAAATAAATACAAAATAAAATAAAATAAAAACATGTTTAAAGAGGCTACAATAATTTCTTTATGTCAAACTTGCAAACAATGTCTTACTTGCTCATCCAGCAGATGCAAAATTATGCATTGACTTTCATTTGGTGTTGTATTTCTGGCCCTCTGGTGAATGTGGGTGCAAAATTCATTAGTGGCTGTGACAGTGTGAATAGTGTTTCCACCTTGAGAGTCTGTGTATAGCTGATTGCAGACACAAACTTTGGAAGATTGGGTCATTTTCTGGAGTTTGCTTTTCACATATGAAGAACACAGCGGGAGATTGTCTGGGTCCGATGCTTTCACAGCAACAGGAAAATGTCAAACATTCAAGCGAGGGCTGGAGCATGCAGGAGGCAGGACATGACAAATAAATTCTGTTTTTGTCCACAGTCCATCGACGTCAGCCCTTATCACAAAAGCTCTCAAGATTACCTACTTGGACATTTGGGTTCTCACATACACCCCCGGAAAAGACACATACTTTAGTGAGGATTAACATTGATAACAACCGTGTTAGAGAAGATCAACATGAAAAATGGAAGTGATCTGACCCATTAGCCCTGTGTACTCATGTAAAAATGACTGTTGCGTAAATGTATCAGAGTATGATTTTGTTCAGGAGCACCTGGTGTGAACTCATCGATCTGTTCTGGCTCTGTTTTTGGTCTCCACCAACTCCTGAGAGAAAAAATACCTGGCTCCAGCTGCTAAATTCTCCACTTAGTTCACGCTAGTTGCTAATGTTTGTGTAACATTTAGTTCTGGGGAGGAGCACACTGAATAGCTTATTCACTGAAAACATCTGCATGCTGCCTGCTAAAAATGATGCTACAGAGCAGTGAGGGTTTTGGGCGGGACAGCTACAAAGCTACTGAGCTCTGAAACGTCGAGATTGAGGCGATAGTAACAAGTTTATCATTATGAGCGATGTTTCTCACATTGTTTTCGCAATTGTCATTTTATATATAAATGAATCGACTTTTTAAACCGTGTGTGAGAACACAAACTATAGAAGCCTTAGCTGGAGAAGTCACTTTACAAATCCCACATCTGATTGTAATCAGTAATTCAAGTCTTTTCTCTGGAGTATTTTTTGGCGATGTGTCGGAAATGAGCAGCTGTTGCACAAGAAGATGAGGCTCAGTGGAATAGAGTGGAACTCCACAGTGAAACATGAACACCTACCTGCTACCAGTTATTTACACCAGTCGATTATTTTAAACGTTAAAGTTAACGTGTTTCCATTATGGTTCAGCTGCTTCACTATTTAGATGCTCGGCTTCTGAAACAGTTTGAAATGCGTGGAGTGGACCTCTGTACTTTGTGTCATCATCTTTATTTCAGCATCTGATAAGTGCATGTCGACACATTTTGGAGAAAAGAAGCTACAGCCTGAGAAATAATAGATATCAACAAAACAACAAAAAAAAAATCTGGGTTCTGCTTTTTCGATATCATCATCAGCAACATCTGAAAAAGATGTTTGAAAGTATCATAGGCTTCATATACAGATGGACGACATGACGGATAGTATCTCGACTGCCACCTGGTAGCTGGCTGCAGAACAAGTCATTATAAACCGTGCCTCCTCCATGTAAGTAGATTGGACATGGTCCCAACTAAAAAGTCAATGTAGACAACAAAAAATGTCTCCTCAAAGATCTGTCTTTCATTTCAGACCATTCCTATTACGCTGATATTTGTGCAAGTGCTCATTTTTTCCATTAAGCTGTAATGATTAACAGCTTAGACTGATTTTTTTATAAATTAAGATTTGCTTGACAATAGGTTCATTGATCTCCTTAAACATTGTAGACTTAAAGTATTGTCATTTGTCATTTGGTTGAGCATTGTGTTATTTTGTAAATGCAGTGAAGAGTATTTACATTTATTCACTCAAGCTCCAGAAATACCAAAACCTAGTTATGTTTTAAAACAACAGCACTCTATTTTGGAGGTATGTTTTGATTTCAACCGTGAAAAGCCACTTTCACCATCATTTGCAGGTAATAAAGCAGCTCTGTCCACTTCCCTCTGTCCTGTGTTGCTGTAATTTGAAATGAACTGTGATATTCTTGGTTTTGAAACTGCTCTGTGAGCAGAGCCAAACCTTAAAAGAAGGCTCACTGTCAGCATGTACAGGCTGTGTAAATAAAGGTTTTGAATCCAGCTGAAGGAGGAGGGAAGGAGGAGCATTGGGTGGGTGTGTATGTGGGTGTGTATGTGTGTGTGTGTGTGTGTGTGTGTGTGTGTGTGTGCACATGTTTTTTCCTGATGGGGTTAAGTGCACCAGGAGTGTGATGTGGTGATGGAGGGAGGATGAGAGGGATAAAAGAAGAGGAGACAGAAAAACGAGAGGAGAGATCCATTAGCTAATGGATGTGTTCAGTCCTGTCTCGTCAGACTTTCACAGACTCTCTCTCTCTCTCTCTCTCTCACAAACCAGCACACACACACACACACACACACACACACACACACACACACACACACACAAGCCATTGAACTGGCCTGTTTTTTTGAACTGTGCATCTAGTAGACAAATCGACTCAACTTATTAAAACAAGGCCTCAAATAATCACAAATTTTACTCACGTCAACTGTAAAATAAAAAGAACAGATGTGTCCACAGTCTCCGTACATGTGTGATTATGTGTGTGTGTGTGTGTGTGTATGTGTGTGTGTGTGTATGTTAGTGCCATGAGAAACTAATTGGTGTCAATAAGACATCTGTGGCTTCTCTTTGATTAAGCCTGCAGGCTATAGGAATAGAAATATAACACCTCACACACACACACACACACACACACACACACACACACACACACACACACATACACACTGCCTGTGGTCGAGCTGATAGCAAACTCCAGGCAGGGCCCATCTGTCTCATTACAGAAACGGGTCTCAGTAGAGAATTAGTATTGTTTATGGTCTCTCTCTCTCTCTCTCTCTCACACACACACACACATACACGGGCACAAACTATATTGTTGGCATGGCTGGTAGCCTTGCTCAACATCAGAGCTGTTGGACACAGAAACAAGTTCATGTGACAGAAGAATGAAGAAATAAAAAAGAAATAAAAGATTGTGTAACACGTTAACCCAGAAGGACCTCTCTGGATTTACTGGAATAGAGTTTAACATTTGAATAGTGGAGGAGGTCAGTGACGGGTGATGAGTCACATTTCAATCTGTGTATTTCACTCTTATTTATGTTGCAATCCAAAGACTTTTGAACTGCACTCATCTGGATGAAAGGTAATAAAGGGAGGTTGAGATTCAACTCAGCAAAAATGAAGAAACCAAAATAGAAAATGACAGACACAGGAACTCAAGTCTGTGCAATTTAGCATTGGTCCATTCAATCCTCTGACTGCCTGGGGGGAAAAAACTAAAAACCTTTGGTTTGTGACCCGAGGATCTGACAGAGCGTTCGTGATGGGAGCGCTGCGAGGAGGCTGCGACCTGGATGGTGCCTGTCCTTGGTGAAGCTTTCGACCTGAGCCCTGCACCTCCTGTTGTAACCGTCTGGGGCTGTGAACTAGATGTGTTCAGTGAGCAAACTGCTCTGGGTTAAGGTTGAGGTGCAGGGTAGGTGGTGCCTCTCAGAGTAGAACTATAACTCCTAATATACAAATATTGTACATTTGAGCATTACCTCTTGTTTAGAGCTGGACGGTGAATAACCGTGTGGCTGAGAGCAGGATGTCTGCAGTCATGAAGCTAAGCTGGCTGCTGACGGACAGTAAATCTAAAAACTGCTTGTTAAACTGTGATGTCTTGAGCGTGGAGGACTTGACTGATCAGACATCTGAGAAACATGAGTAAAGTTACAAGTGATGACTTTTTCAGAACTTTTCCCAACAGCCCTCGAGTAAAATGTCCAGAGAAGGATAAGTTAGCCCATGTGAATATAACAGTGATTCACAGCGAACGAATGGGCAGTTGATGACGTTTCTAACATGAGACAGATGCCACACTGAAAAAAAGAATCCAAATATCTCAGAATGAAAACGTGAAAGACGTCATTGAAGTTGTCAACCTGGAAAGGTTTTGAGAGCTTCAGTGATAAGAACTGAAGCCAGCGTCAATGGGCTGTAAACAAAAACACGCTGCAGAATCTATACTTGATGCCCCTGCTCTACCCAGTAAACCCCTTGTTTGAAAAGTGGACATATTCCTGTTTTTGCAATGAGTCTGACCTGGACTATCAGTTTGCGTTCTTAAAATGTGAAAGGCAAATTCCCGAAAATGTCCAGACCCAAGTTTCTGGAGTTCATATCTGTAAATGACTTGAGAAATGATCCCGAACACAAATCAAATACAAGAGATGGAAACCAGGGAAGAGAAACAGGAGACTGGCGGCTGAGTGTTCAGGCAGTTTGTACTTATGAACCAAATCAGCCTGATGATTCATCTGTGCTCTCCTGGCTCATAAAGAGGACGACTAGATAACTCTATTACTTGTAGCTGCCTCACTTCAGACTTCCCCTCGCATGTGTGCCTCTGCTGTATTCTGTTTTTTGAGTGATTCTGAACAAAGCAAGAAAAGAAAAGATGCCTTTTCACAGAGAAGAAAGAACTTTAATTAAATATAGTGACGAGTCAAAAAGTTACTTTACACTTCAAAGTTCAAAATAATAATAATAAAAAATCAACATTATCATCTTTACAGTAGTTTCCTCTGTACTTCCACACTGATACTGCTGATAACGTGTGTGAATGATGACCGCCACTGAATCCAGACAAGCTGCGATGAATGTGTTGTTTGACAAGTGCTTCATCATACTTCATTAAGCCAAACCCTCTTTTCGCTTCTTCCTGTACAGGTATTTAAACTATGTAATATACAAACACACAAAAAAAAAAACATCCCCTCAACTTAATTAAAATATTACATTTTTCTTTTTAAAGGAAAAATGATGACACTCAGTCACACACACACACGCTCACCAACAGAAGAGTGGTCTCCAGACCCATGTTTGAGATAAAATAAATAGGTGGCTCATTTTTTTTAAAAGGAAAAGTGAAGAAAAAGAAAAAGCAGAAGTCAAACATACAGAGTATTAATAGCACAATCAAAACAAGGTGGGGGAGGGACATGAAGAGAGGAAAGGGAGCAGAGAGAGGACAGAAAACCTGACTGGAGCAGGAGAAAGGAGAGAGAAAGAGACATTTTTTCCATCCATCTCTTTCTTTCATCATCATTCCATGAAAGACAAACACAGACAATCATATTGACAAATTTGTAAATGCTACGTCTAGATAATACAAAAGAATTATGCAGACTTTAACATTGATGATACAAAATGAAACTTCTATAACTTAGAAATTATTAAAAAAAATACACCATGGCTTCTTTTAGTTTGATTGAAATAAGCAGTGGAAGTATGGCTTTTAATAAACAGACAATATAATATAAAATCAAAAAACATTCAGGTCCTCTGACAAAAAGACAAAGCAAATGAGAACATGTGAACATAATGAAGGACGTGAGTTTTCAGGGTTTTAGTTTTGAATACTGCCGTCAGTCTGCTGAGGCTACTGACTTTTGTCTGAGAGGGTGTTTTTCACTCATTTAGCATCAATCTGAAGTTTAAGTTTGGGTATAGTGAGGTTTTCTGTCCAGTAAAATTCCCTTTTAAATAGTTTCTAGTTGTGGCAAATCTGAAATCTGACTCTCTTATACAGCACTGACATAAAATAACATTATTGGCTTATACTGCTTGTGACAAGAAAACACGTGTTGAACAGCAGGGAAACTGTGGCATAAGACTGTTTGGGCATCAACATCTCAAATAAGGGCTTTGGCAAAATTAACAGAACACAAATTAAAAGCGTTAAGACTATAGAATCACACACAGTGAGGTGCAAGCTCAGACTGCAGTGCTGAGGGAGCAGTGACGTTCACAACAAACCATCAGGGAGTTTCCACACACTGCAATTTTAAGACATGTTGCTGGCAAGTTGCCCTGCGCTGCAAAAACTGTCCCGTGTGGACATGGAATCTTTACTTCTTAAGAAAATATGTGCAAAAGCAGGATGTAATTATGGTTGAAGGAGACATACTATGCTTGTATTGAGGTTAATAATTTGAATTACTTACTGCCAATGTTTAGAAAACAAATTACTCTCCTCGTACTGTCTATTGCTGCAGCTCTTCTGTTCAGCCTCTGTCCGAGATACTTGGTTTTAGCTCCTGTCTCTTTAAGTCAGTTGACCCACTCTGTTGTGATTGGCCAACCACTTCCACTGTGTGTAGGAAATGTCGGCCTCTGCTCTCGCCTCACTTGGCTTTGTTAGGGACTGTGCCAGACCAGTCGCTAGGTGTGGATTGTGCAAACGTGGGGCATCGGACTATCGACAAGGCATTTCAGTTTCGTTCACTGTGGGGAGCTCCTTTTACAGTGAACTTTTGGCCTTTTAAATTTGCAGAAATTTTCCATACACAAAAAACTATATAACACACTAGAGGAAAGGAAAACTCAAAAGCAAACTATGTCTCCTTTAAATAAATGTTAAGTGGGGCAGATTTTAAGCCATGTACCTCAGTTAAAGTTTTTTTTTTGACTCAGTTGAAACTTTAACGACTTGGCAATTCTTGCAGCGCAGAATTTAAGACACACCATTGGCTAGTTTTCACTAGATCAGTGGGCAGGTTACACAATCAAATCTGATTGGCTGTCTAATCACGAAAAAAAACAAAAAGAGTTAAAGTCACAGCAAACCAACAGAGGGAGTTAAGACAAAAATATGAGATACATACGAAATCAAATCCCACAGCAAAACTGAAGTCAAAATGGCAGCAGTCTTTAAGACATGTTGTCCCTTAGAGGTCACCGTGGCTGCGTCCCACTTAAAAACAGATCAAATGGTCACAGGAGCGATGGACAGACTCGTTGGCAGAGTTGTTGGGTCAAATCCTCGACAGTGAAGCTGCTGTTGGCATCAAGTCATCACACACCTCTCTGTTAGGTTGGAGCTTCATCAATTTATGGCCTTTTTACAACTAACTATTACCGAGGAGGTTTTGTTTTCACCTCTGCAGATCCATTCGTTGGTTGGTTTGTTGTAAGCAAGATTACGCAAAAACTACTAGATGGATTACCAGGAGGATCAGGCGGGGGTTTATGCGCAGTTTTGTGCGGATCCAAATACAAATCAGTATCCAGTGGATTTAAGTGTGGTTTTCATTTGGTGGAGGTATGCACTCTCTCTCTCTTAAAACAAAGTTCGTCTTGGTTTGATGAGTGACTGAATTCTCTTCCTCTCTGCAGAGTGTTCGCTGAAAGGCAGACTTGGACTTTTTCACTAAACGAGCACAGAAGAGCATCATCAGCATCAGTCGCAGGCAGGAAGCATCTGAATCCATCAAACTGAATGATTGAATGGAGATGAAAGAGCGTGTGTGGATTTGGCAAAGAGGAGTGATAGTGTGTGTGTGTCTGGTTTGGCTTGTCTGCGTCGGCTGGATTTGACCCTGTATGAATCCATGCAGCCTCTTCATCATTATCATCATCATCATCATGGTTTTTTACTCATCATCAACACCATCATCGTTAGGTATTCTTCACATTATATTCCTTCATTAACGACCAGACGTCATAAATAGAAAATCCCTCATGTAGGAGATACAGTTAGAAGATGAATATCACACGTTAACTGCACAAAAATTAAAACAAATCAACAATCGCTCAAGGGAGGAAGTGGATTCTCTCCAAAATAAATACACTTCCAGTGTCCATGGAGAGTCGTGATGTAGGCGTGGCCATTCTCCTATAAAAGCATCAAGGTGTACAAAGTCTAAACAACTCTTTTCCTCGCAAACATTTGTTTCCTTGCAGTTGTTTGTTTTTTCCGTGTTAGAAAGGGCCTGAGTTGGGTTTGTTCCTTCAGATAGGGACAGCTGCTTCCATCCCCAGACCGGAGTCCGACTCCCACCAAAATCCTCCGCCAGGATCGGTGTGAGTGTGCTTGGTTCATCTCACACACACATACACACACACACGCACGCACGCACACGTGCACACACACACACACACACACACACACACACACACACACACACACACATTCATGTACTCACACCTTTTACATGGGTGGGACAATCATTCCAGGGATTGCTGCCGGGTGGAGGGAAAAATAAACAGAGGGAGGGAGGGAGAAAAAGACAGAAAACTTTTTAAACATAGCCAAATATTTTCGTCGTCATAAAAAAAATAAAAACTCTCGTAAATACATCAATATGTTTTCCCATCTGTGCAGCTGTGTGACTGCAGAGACATTTAAACATCAATGGAGGAATAAATCAGTAAAACTGAGCGAGGACACGTCATTTAAGTTGGCTGTGAGAGAAGTTGCTTACACACAAACACGCACATGTAATGCAGCGCCGGAACAGTTGGCGTATATAACTATATGTTTGTGTGTGTGTCTGAGATTGCATCATGATGTGTTTAAACCCAAGGGATGGGTGTGAACACAGAGCCCAGCCCATAGTGACATACCCATAGAAATTATTAAATGGTTTCATATTCCATGGGAAGTGAAAACTGCAATTGGAAAATAATTTTGTTTTGAAAGAACACTACAAATTCTAACGTTTCAGCCAAACCTTCAGTTTTTATGCCCAACCCCCACCCCCCACCCCCCGAAAAAACACGGCCAGGTATACTGACAGTATAAAGTGTCAAGAGAGTCGAGCAGCTGTCATTGTTGATCGTTCCCTAGTAAGCTGCCAGCGTGTGATCACAGAGTGTGTGTGACAGAGGAAAGTACTGTGTGTGTGTGTGTGTGTGTGTGTGTGTGTGTGTGTGTGTGTGTGTGTGTGTGTGTGTGTGTGTGTGTGTGTGTGTGTGTGTGTGTG